TTGCCAAAACTTTCTTTCTCCTAATGACTGTTATGTTTGGGAAGTATGCAATGACGTCATACGAACTGATTTATATGTCATAAGTAAAATGGTATCGAAGTGAATTTCAAAGTACTTTGATCCTGAACATTTCAGTCTAAGATCTTTGGATATATCCTTGATTCACGTCAATTATTAAATCCAAAGATTTAATAAAGCTAAACATTTCTCCTCCTGACGTCATCCAAAATTCACTTACAACACAGATCAGATGTTGATAATTTAGCAGTAAAGACAGATCTCGTTCGTCAATCTTCAAGTTTTTTTCCTGTTCCCTTCATTTGTAAATTTTGTGCAAGGTAGCAAATGAAAGGTTTCTTCGAACGACTACACATTTGCTGACATTAAAAAAATTTTTTTTTTCATTTTGTCACAATACATGAAATGAAATGTTACGTTTAATCATGAATATCACATGGTCACTGCAGGTGTCTATAAATTCTTAAAGAGTGAGCATCTAAATCAAATAACGACTGGAAAAGACCTCGCAAAACTACATGTGCACACACTTCATGCCAAAAGTGCTTCTTGTACATATGACTTACTTTTCCATTGTTGGTTTGTTTAAACCATTAAACCATAAATGTGACCAGCATCCAATTTCTCTTTACAGTAATACTGCTGAATCACTCACTACGATCATGAGAATAAAGGAAATGATCATCAGCCTAAGAGGCGTTGATTGTTAAATGAACTCTCCTTGTGCAAAGGAAAATGTACCAACGTGGGTATGGAGAAATGAATAATCATGTTGAAGAGTAAAGGTTAATATCATGTAGTAAACATGATCAGCATAAAGTTGAGAACTCTGAGTTCTCCAAATGAGATAGCTACATCTCCACCCCTACCCTCTTCCTCTCCCCCTCCCCCTGCCTTTTCCCCCTGTCCCTCCCCCTGCTCTTTTGTTGCATATCCATCCTGCTGGACAAAAAATTTTGTTTATCATTTTTAAGCATGCAAAAGATACATGGACCAGTAACATGATCATGCCAATAAAGTATAACTCTAGTTGAAAGTAAGAATGAAACTAGTCACTAACCTTCTCAAATAACTGATACATGAAACATTAAATGAACCCTCTCCTTCAATGCACTAAAAAGTTTTTAGTTGATTCTTAAAAGTAGGTCATTTTTAATTTGGAGCTGACCTGGATTGAAGGTTTCCAAAGTTTGAGGTGAAAATACTTTGAGAGTAACTAATCACAAGTTAGTGAAGTTTGACATAAACATTTCCACCCAAGAAATAGTATATTACTTATAAATACTTAAATTTGGCTGCAAAATTTAATCCACTTAATAAAAGTCTCAAACTAATATTTCATGAAAGAAGACCACTAGATTTTGTTCACAGACAAAAAAACAACATGGACAAAAAATGTACTAATTTGTATGCAAATACATGTATGTGTATCCTTCAGCTTCAGTCACACCTTGACTAAAAATTCTACTTCCCTAAATTGCACTGAGGTTGAACATTCTGACCAGTTTCCCTTGATAATCAGACAAAACAAATTAGTAAAATCCTTTTGATGTATATCAACTTCACAACATTCTGGAGAAATCAAAAGCAATTTTCTGATGAGAAAGACTTACTAACAATTCTGCGACAAATGTGTGATGCAGAAACAAGATTTAAGAGATACATTAGGGAATTTTTCCATAGGCTGTAAAAATTAAATACTTACAAGACACACCTTCCACATGAGAGCCACAAGTGTCAACATTACAGGCCATAAAAATGCAAAAGAGCCAACATAAGAAACTTCAGCTTCAACCTTACAATGTGTTAAACATCATAAGACAATCAAGTTTTATCCTGTTTTTTGATTAAACACCCAAGTGTTGCAGAGATCTGCTGATGGGGTTAAAGCTTCAGGGAGGTTACTCCCTCATAAAAACTAACACAAATGCTTTAAACCAGAGTCGGCTTCTGTCAAATACCCCCAGAGGACGGAAATACAGCTGTCTAAGCCAGTGTTTGGGCTATCACTGTTTCGGTTCATTATAAATATTCAAGACTTTTATGGCACTTAAATTTTCAAGCGACTTCTCAAATTACCAATAAAGACCCAAACATGACAGTCAAAGGATGAGAAGAAAAAGAAAAAAAGAAAAGGGCAATAAATATTCATCTAGAGGACTGGATGTCAATGAAATATGTAAACTTCACCATTCCAGAGAAAGCAAGTTTAACGTGCCTCCTTTACTCAGGAGGATTAATTAGAAATTAGGTTTCTTTTTCCTTATGTGAAAAAAGACATGTTAATCCATGCTGACACCTGCTGTCTGATGGATGAATCTCGTAATAGCATAATGTTCCATAACAGTCTGAGAAACTACCAATCAAATGTCACCATGATACTGTTTAGGTACTTAAATGTTAGTGCCTGCCTGGATCACAAGCATACAGCACTTTAAGTAAAACAAATTATGGTAATTACACAAAAAACTGACACTTGTGAAGTCAAAACACTCAGATGACTTATAAACACTACACACTTTGAGCAATTCTATTTTCTGGCTCCAGAGAGTCTATGAGAATAATAAAGCTATTGTAAAAGACATTTACTGGTATAGATATTTAAAATAAACTTGGCTTTCGTTCAAGCTAAGGGTTCTTAAATAACTAAAGACAGTTGGTGTGCTGAAGTTTTTAATTCCCCTGAAGAAAGAGACAGCAATAGGAAAATGGCTTCACAGCAAGTCAAGTAAACATTATGGAGGAGTCAGTGTTTAAGGATGCTTTGCAGCATCACTTGAGAAATAATAGCATTTTCTTTAATGATCTAGAAGAAACATGATACTTTGGAAAGTCATACTTAGGGAAAACATTTGAAAACTGGTATCAAGTTAAGTACATCTGCTAGCTACATAGAGTTGTTTTGAGTTTGTGAGCTTTGAAGATTGCAGATAAAGAATTCAGCACTTAAAAAAGCCATATTTTTGTAACATATTAATTTTTTTGTTCACAGCTTGTACATTAAAGTTCTTCACAGAATAGAAGAGGACTTAGAATAAACATTTCCCACCCAAATAAAAGTGGTACTTGATGAGAATTACTGGAAACATCCTAAATTCACAACATCATCAGTTGAAATGTCTCTGTTATTGAAAATCTCTGTCTGCCTGTGGATATTTTGCAATTTACTATGCAGAACAGATTACTAAGCACTAGGAACCAAGGCCATTGTGGCTGGTTGCCCTAACAAGAAAATGAAGCAAAAATTGCTCATCAACATCATCACCTTTGGAGTGATAACACTTGTAAGTGGGAGCAATAGCTCTCATGTTAAGAGACAGCCACCTCCTGATACTACAGAGTGAGAAAAACAAACCTTTTCGTCAACGAAAAAAATTCAGTTGAAAAATAAGCCAGTTGTTATTAATTTGTTTAAAAAAAACATCTCAACCGATCGCTGGATCCTGTTGAGATATATACAAAAGAGTTAAAAAAAAAAACAAACATATGTTAAAATTGGCAAAAAGCATGTTGAGAATTTAGTGTGTAACAACTAAGAGGCTGCAATGAAATGCGCTATTGAAGACGTAAAGCCTAGAGACTCCAAAAAAGTTGATGCATTTTGCTGGCTCTCGCTAAGTAGATCTCTAAATACCGCCCAAGGCTCTTTTCAGCAATTGTTAGAGACGTTCTCCACAGCTCCAAGAACACAGAAGAACAAAGATGAATAAAAAAAACACGAGAAGTGATGAGCTACAAGCGCATAGCAGAAATATTGCTGAATAAGGCATAATTTGTTATTCCAAAATCAAGAACTGAGATCCGCAAAGTTGCTATAAGGGTATCAATAAAAGTTAAGCAAACACGAAGTTTGGTAAGTTTTGCTTGTCTGTCAAAGTTAAAATTCATTTTACTTCTCCTGAATAATATTTGTACTAACTATAAACAATTTTAAGAATCTGATCGACTAGTCGATCACTTCCGACGAAACTGAAACATTTGTTTATCATTCGAAGCTTAATCTCTTCGGGCGCGAAGACTTTCAATTGACATTTGAGACAACCACAACATCCATTAGCGAAAACGAAATATAAATACTCTAAAACTAGTGTTTTAATCATCTGAGTAGGTGATGGACTACATCTGACTAATAATGAATTCCACGGCTAGTGACAAGTTCAGTATTTTAAAGTACCCTCGCCTCAAAATCGCTCCCGATGTTCAATTCAAAATGAAAGGACATTCAAGTTGGTACATCGTATCAGCTAGAATAACTCAGACATTTGGTTTCGAGGCAACAGTCGTTCAATTGAATTCTGTATGGAACGCTGACACTTTCCCTTGGTAACCATAATGAATAGTCTGTTCTTTTGAACAACTTTGACTAAAACCACTTGCGAATCGACGTCAATATTCTTATTTTGGAAATCAATACAATCACATAAATAAAAGAAGACCTGTATCAATTTTTATCTCATCTGCTATTTTAATTTTATCAGAACATCAGTTCACCATTTTATTTCATTTTTTGCTTTTTTCATTTCGAGGGAAAGTGAATAAACGTAGCTTCTATTTCTGACTGAACATCCCCTGTACTTGTGGCAAGAATGATGCAGAAAAAAAAAAAAGAATCGGCGACTCATTATCAAGAAATGAAAACATTCACTACTGTTTAGTCTGAATAATTTTTAACCCCAGATAACTTCGTTCGCTGAAAAGCGCTTCAACCAAGTAAAAGCTGGAAGATGAAGTTGTACGCTTTTGCGTTCTCATTGTTGAAACGAATCCACGTTGCACGGCGACCTGTCCTCTTCCTTCACAACAACAGAGCTGCTAGTAGCAGGTGGAATTTACGTGAAGTTTAATGGCCGTCCTTTCTTCACCACATAACACACATGTAGGGACAAGAGAGCGATCATAACACTTCAAAGGCTGACTTCCCTTCCGTTTCAGAGATGCGCTAAGACAAAATAGAAAGTAGAATACGCGGAAGGAGTACTTACCGATTCCACACTTGTCACATAACACGATCTCGTTTGGTCTCAGCGAAGTTCCGTCTTTGCAAATAATACATACAATTTCTGCCGTCGTTTCTGTCACTGCGAGGAATCAGAGAGAAGCGTTAGCGAGGACAAAGAAATCCAATTACGCTTTTCCTACAAAATTACGCGAGGGAAGTTTTATCAGGACAAAAAATAAAAACTTGCTAATTGCTTCCCACATGAAGACACCGAGAACAAATCCGAGAACTCTGTGTGTCATACATGACGAAACCTTGGCCGGATTCTATCGATATAAACGCTACTATCTCCTTGATTGAAAAGAGAAACAAGATTGCAAGAATTAAGACGAACCACTGTGAATCTTGGAGAACGGACATTCCTCAACAGAATCATCGTCGAAGATTAGACTACACTTTCCAGAAACTCGGTCAATTTTCTGAATTTTCGCGTAAAACAGTTTGTCTTCCCATTCGGCCAACACGACATCTCCGTTTGAGAAGTTGAATTCATCCATTACGCGAGCCCTTTCAGAGCAAATTTATCCCCGATGATTGCATCCCACATTCACCCATGTCCCACACAAGATGGGGAATTTCTGCGGCGCGATCACACAAAGTAAAACATGGGACATTCGACGACAACACAGTCGCTTCGTTCACCAGCTATCGCATTTGTGATTAAGCCTCGACCTCGTGTTACGTCAATGACGCGCGTTCAAACGAGATTCGAGGCTTGCGAAAGATGCGGAGTTTTCCCTGGCGCCTATTTTCGCTTTGAAACTTGTTCAGCGCTCCAAAAGTTTAACTACAAGGTTTTCAAGTCGATCTTTGAGAACCTACCTGCGTTCAGAGAGCAACAGCATATCTGAATGACTAATTTCGCTGCCGAGCCATGGCTTCCGCTGCCATACTTCAATTAATTATGAAAAATTTCCCGCTATCAATTTTTGTTTTACATTTATATCGGCTCTATTGTTATGATAAATACAGGCTGCACCTGTACAGACAAGCACTAAATTTGTATAAAAGCTTTGCCTTTTGGCTAACTTATCGCATCTCTGCTAGATTTGCACAAGCCTGTTCCCAGTGCAACGTCAAACACAGCTGAGATCACAATTCGCTAAATATTTCTGTCAAAATTAAGCTCTACTGTTTGATTTGAATATTGGTTTGACAAAATTGGAAAAACATCACCGCTGATATTGCAAAAGGACAGATTTTATTTTCCCTCTTGCAACATCTCTCTTCCGAAGTCTCTCGTAAATCATTTCCAATTTCCTCTATTCACTGAATGGCGCACTTTAAAATTTGGACAGGCATTAGCGACCATCAATTTCACTTCGCGCTCGAGTCCAGCGGACATCTGCTCAATTGTTTGCGAGTTGTTTGGGAAAATGCCTTCTTTCCTTACACGTGCCGCCGAATGGATAAGAAAAGCCTTCCGGAAAAGATAATTTTGATATCTGTTCGGCTCTTTCGCGTTTGACAACACCGTTGTTGTGATCTCGACAAGAACGTCATTAGCGTAAGAGCGGTGAAAGCTGATTCGAACTGAAACCTAAAGAAAAAAAAAACTTAAAAGCGGTATAAGACCTGTCTGCAAAGCGCGCGCACACAGATCACACACAAAAAAAGAAGCTGCTAGGACAGCCCACCTCCAAAGCGTGCTTTTTAACATTTACGCAATAAATTGCAAAGACGAATCTTGTTTGTTTTAAGTTGGACATATCCGCCCTAAAGCACTTTATTCGGGTCGCCCGTGATGTCTTTCATAAAGTTATTGATGAAGTATTTATTTTCCAAGCGAGCAGGTGCAGATTCCCATAAGACTTTCAAAATTTGTGCAGCTGCTCTCCAACGAATTGTCACATGACACAGTGTCAGCACGAACAATTCATTTCTCAGCGCAGTGGAAATAAAACGTTTAACCCTTCGTTCAAACTGTTATAGCCCTACGCGCCACCGTGGTGCAATTCTGCAGTATGAAAGAGGCCACGCGAGCGTAAAAGCTTTTTTCCAATTAAAGTCTTCGAGCGAAGATAAAAAAACAGCGTTATTAACGTTGCGAAGAATAGATAAATTAAATATTACATATAATTACTTGAGGCTTTTCAAAACAAAAATAAGTCCATCGTGTATTAAGGCCAGCTGTTTCAATTCTGCGAAAAAACAGGATATCCGGAGCAATTTTAGATTTTCGTATATAAGTAGAAAACACAATAAAAAGCGGTAAATGATTGTCGACTCAACAACACCAATCTTTTGATCTTTTTAAAGGCTCCTTTGCTTTCGTCGGCAGAATTGAAAATTAATTTCTTTTTTCCTACGCCGAATTTTATTTTTATTTTTTTTTCTGAGTTCTACTTGGTTACAAAACACCCGGTGGCTGGCTTGAATTTGATACTGAGCCAAAGTACGGGATTAGGGCGATAAAAAACAAAAATTAAAAAGGAACCACTTAGTTTTTCTGCCGTGGGGACCACATAATTAGACATGGAACACAATTTTTAAGAACAAAACTAGATTACTGCTTACATCCTGTGTTTTAATAATACGTTTTCCTCTTAAAGAATCAAACGGAAATTGAGCCAGTGTTAGCGATATGTCTCTCCACTTTCCTATTCATTCTAACGAGAAAAAATGGGCCATGCACAGTTCCGTTTACGTCAACATCAAAGGAAAGAGGAAATTGTTGACAAAATGCTCTCCTGTTATCGCAGTTTTTTCTTCCGACGGCCGGGTAAATTAGCTCAGGAAAAAAATCCTTTATTGGCTCTAGTTTTAGATTAGGCAAGACATGAAAATAACTAGTTTGTCTTTATTGTTCATAAAACCCGTTTAAAGGCTGTATTTACGAGATTAAAATTCATTTAAACCCGAGACGCAATATCGAAAAAATATACAAGTGTAAGAAATAAAAGAAAAGGTGAAGAGTTTTCGTTACAGTAATCAAAAATTGGATTGCAAAACAAAAGAGGGCCCACTATTACGTGTGCAATGATTCTTTGAACAAGCAGGATTCCACAAATTGACGACTGCAGCAAACAGCGCTGGGTTATTTTGTTAAGAAAATCTGAAAAAATAGAATTTATCGGGGTTTAGTTTCACAAAAAGGAAAAAAGTTAAGAGCGGCATTCTGTTCAAATAAATTAACCCCTAAGCTGCAAACAGCTTGCGAGTTCTGTCTGCAAAGTCAAGACTGAATCTGAAATTTGAAGCGCGGTCTATTCTGTGAGCACGCGTTTGTGTCAAAACGTTTCTCTGTTTTGATGAAACAGCTTTGGATCCTTTTAGGGGGTTTCCTATTCAGTCGCAGATTGCTTTAGCGAAAGAACACAATACCCTACTAACTGACGATTTAACAGTTAAAATGTTCATGTCGATCATAGTCTTTGCGCAGCTGTTTGCACCAATAAAAAGCGTTTGTTCAGGCAGTGAAGAAAATATAATTTACCAGATAACGCAAAACCATTGTATTTCACACGGGCTTTTCTCCGAATTGGTAATTTGCCATTCAGAAACTTATACCTCTGAAATTATTGCTAACTCGTTGGTTGTAAACACCGAACAATACTAGATTATCCTGGACTTCATTTTAACGCTAGTGTACCGAGCAAAAACAAAAATTTGCACTGACAAAAACAAACAAGACAATGACTGTGAATCTGCAGGAGCCCGAACAGTATATGCATAAAGATTCTCGAGTGCGTGGGCATGAAAAGTATATTTTTTATCGCTGGCAAAAAAAGGAAAAATCAAAACTCGAAAACTGACTTCGATCGCGCCTTTGGCACTAATCTTTTGTCAATCTTATCATTTAAAATAGTTTTCATTTTAATCTTTTGTATTTATGTTGCTGATTTTTTTTGGAGGAAATCAAAAGAAATACGTGGAGAACCGCCACACTCGAAACCACCAATCATGAAAAGTAATTAGCGCAGCAATATTTATATCTCGTATTTTACTCCCGAAGGTAATATCCGGCAGCTATTTCTATTTACGTGCGTATATCAACTTTTTCCCAGTTTGGTCCTGAAAGAGCCATTTGTATGATTTTCTCCAGACATACTCTCTTTGAGATCGACTTTTGACAGTTTTTTTTATTATGTTATGTTGTGTCCGTGTTTCACATAAACTAGAGAAGCTTGAAAAGGTTTGTTTTGCCAATTCCAAAAGCGAGTTTCACCAGTAACCCAGGCTTGAGATATTGCGGAATATCGCACTTGGAACAAAACTGACAAGTGCATATCAAGAATGGTCATTTATTTGGTCAAATTGCAAATTTTATGCCGATTTCGAGCCTAATTGCAAACTTATCAAACTCAGTCAAGGCGACAAGAGCTAAAATCTTTTCAACTCAGCTGCCGCTCGTCGGCAGGCGGAAAGATGTCTGACTGATGATTAAAATCCTACATAATTCGCAAATGTTTGCGGTCTTCTCTTTATCTGGAGCGTTCAGTCGTTCTAAGAATTTTTTTCAGTCTTTCTTCTTTTTTTTTCGATCCCCAATCGACCGTATATCCGTCCATTTAGAAAGCGTTAGTACTTTGTCAGGAAGCCATAGTAAAATGATGTAAGTTATGTTGTGGCTGGTTTGGCATATGGCGCCTGCTAACAAGGCAGGTGATAACTTGGGGTCGATGGTTTCTCACCTTTAAAACTGAACTAAATGTGCTAAAAGGAAAGGGAATTCATTCAAATAAAACGAAGAGGTTTTATTCTCGGAAAAGAGTAACGAATTCCTTGTAAACCGTAGTTACTGCAGCCGTGAAGCGCACACCAGTAGCGAATAAGTAGGTGCGGTAAATTTACATTTTCGTGTCGTTTCATTAGATGCTCATTAAACAACATAGAAATCGGCTTGAGATGCAAAAGAGAGACAACTTTTCAACTGCAGCCTGTTTTAAATTGAGCGGCGACAATGTACCCGAGATATCTGTTATAAGGCACAGTCAGTCATTAAACCGGGCGACAAATTACTTATTATTCAGTCAATAACGGGAAAACGGCGTCTGCACATAGGGAAGCACTTAGCTATAAAGGACCTCACTTTACCTTTTGACTTGCGCCTGTTCAGGAAAAAGGCGCATTCTATTTCCTAAAACACGACACCATGGCGTTGCGACTTAACTAAAACTTTACTGCCGAAAATGAGAAGCGAAACCGATGATAATCAAATTTAATAATGAAAGAGAGAGAAAAAAACACTAATGTTTTTTTTGGTTTCAGATTATACTGTTGAATCATAAAGTAGACAAAAAGTGTTTATTATAGAGAAGGAACCTGACTGCAAACTAGATGACGTCATACGGGGGAACATAGAGCGACTTATACGTATATCAATTAAACATTATTTTGGTGTTTGTTTCTCCACGCATTCCACAAAAATCAATAAGGAGATAAGAACATATGATATTCATACACGTATAGATCGTCATCGAAACGGTTAAACTCGATGTAAAATTTAACATAACTTTTGTAACGAAAGCTGTTTTTTTAGAGAGTCCGGTAACGATGGCCTTTCATGTTGGCGACACTTGAGCTTTTAAAAGTGAGATATGTCGCAATGAATGGAAAACTTGCATCATGACAGAATTTTAAAAGATTTGCCGGGTGCAGTTTTAAAATGAATGTTATCACTCTACAATACTTGCAATTGCGCGATTTGCGGTCCATAAATCTAAACGAGTTCTTTCTATTAGAACCTGGAGTAACATTTTTATGGCTCGACCGAAAGTTCTACCCTAAAAAAATGGAGGAAATAACGGAAATTGGGGATACGAT